CTGATCCTCTTAGGGTCTGCATTTTCAGCTTGCTACGTGTGATTGAGTTTAACCACTTTCACACCGATGACCTTGCTTGTAGGTTCTATGCCCTACCTCCCAGTCGCCCCGACTAATTTCTTCTAGCATCCAGCGCTAAAGAGTCCGTTTGGACCGCCCTGGAACTGAATGTCGCTATAATTTGTGGCTGTCTTCCTCTTTTCAAGCCGCTCGTGCACAGGTTTCTTGGAAAGGTCAAAGCCCAGTCGACCCGCTCGTTACGCACACCGCGTTACCTCAACCGGCTAAGCCAAGACCCCGATGGATTCCATAAAATCAGCGATCCCCATGGTCTAAGGACAAGCAAGAGCGTGGTGGTATCTACGGACCCTAGTGGAAGACGTAGTTCGGATGTTGAACTTCGCGGAATCACCGTGCATACTGCGATCCAGCAGGATGTGGAGAGTCGGCCAATTACTAATAGTTCAGACGCTGTGACCGAGACGACATGGCCTCGGTGATCTAAGTGGGATATAGTTTAGATTTAATTTTGATCTCGATGATGTAAGGCTACAAAGATCTAGTACTTGAAGTCGAGTATTCTTGGTTCTACGTTTCATGATTTCGACTTTGAATCTCCATATCTTTATATTCCTTGCGAATATTTGAGTCGGGCCTTTCGCAATTGTGGATCTGCGGTTAGGGTTAGAGATTTGGAGATTTACCATCGTAGGTACTGTCTTAAAGCATCACATTTAGTTGGTAGGTTTTTCCTATTGAATACATTGTACAGCTCTCATATATGTAGAGTAAGAATCCTCAAGCAGCAATTAGCATGGGGTGTTCAGAGTTGTCGGAGCTCAGACTAATCTTCTTGCTCACGCTCTGCCTTACTGTCCTGGCGTGTCTTTGGTTTCTTATTTGTTCCCTCCTCCTGGCTTGCGGTGCGCTTCTTCCCGGCCTCAGTACTATGATCATTCTGACCTTCAAGTTCGCCATTTTGTTGTCCCTCCTCGTCCTCCTCCTCTTCTTTTTCTTCTTCTTCTTCTTCTTCTTCTTCGTCTTCTTGCTCTTCTTCGTTATCTTTTTCATCAATTTCATCAGATCCCTCTAATCCCTCAGGCTCATCTTCGCCTGACCCAGATTCTTCATTTTCAGACTCCTGTTGATCCTCACCCTTACTTTCTTCCGCAGCCTGTTTCCTCTCCTTCTTTGCCTTACTAGTGTTAGACACAAACTGCTTGCCTTTTTTAGACTCCTTCTGTTTCTTCTTATCAGTCTCCTCCTTCTCCTTCTCACTCATCTTCTCCCATGCTTTCTTAGGCAAATATCTCTTCCTCGTCCCATCCTCCTGTTTCGCAGTGCCTGAACCCTCTTTCGTCTGCCACTCTTCTTTGCCCCATTTCTCAAGGCTCTTCTGGGACTCATCTTGTCCTTCTTCCTTCGATGTAGTATAGTCTCCACCGCGCTTTTTGTATTCCGACGCCATAAATTGGGCCTATTTCACAAAGTTATGTAAATACATATTTCCCCCCAACATGAATGCAATGAAGTCAGAACAACAGAGAGATAGAAGCAAGCAAGAAACTTACCTTTCTAGCAGACCACTGACCAGGCTTCCCACCTTTATCACTCTGTTTGACTTCTTCTTTGACCTGCTCCCGCAGTTCGGGATCGGTATATTTGTCGTCTTTGGCGGGCATGTTGGACGATTGGAATTATGAGGGTAAGTCAATTGAAACAGATTTTATCTGATTAGGTCTAATGAATGAGATATTTCTTTCCTTTTATTATGTTCTAGGGCTAGAAGTAGGAATGACATAATTAGATCTCAGATCTGAACGGTGACATCATAGGGTTCATGCAATCATCATGATTAAATTTGAATATTTCGGGTGATCGACAAATCTTGAATTCCTCCCGAAAGCTTAGATTTGGACTTAAAAGATGAGTTTGATTCGGTTGATCGTAGAAGCTTGGTCTTTTTTTTTTTTTTTTGCTCTTCTTTTTTTAAGATAAAGTTGTATCTAGATTGTTTGTTAGTACTTAGTGGATGTTATTACATATACTACAGCAGTGTCACTACATTGATGTAACTCTTCCTATAGGGAATATGTAAGCTATTCACTGTAGGCCACATGATAGTACAGGAAATATTTACTAAATAGGAAATAAACTAAGAGTTTGCTAACCCAATGCTGGGTGTAATCTCTCTGAAATCAGGCAGTAGGGAATAGCGTTTCAATCCCTCACAGAGCAAAGGAGAGCTTTTATCTCGCCATATTGAGGGGGGAATAGGGGGGAACAGAGCTGGGCAGAAATGTCAGGCGTTTACGTATGCATTATTGTGAGACCACATAGTAGTTTGATTTTGACTGGTTAAGTAGGTGTGCAATACATATAGGTCAGCAGATAATTTTTCGTGTCTTATGGATGGTGAAGTCTGTCCATTTTAGATTTGAATAAGAATTCACACTTGCTTGACTCACCACCAGTTGCCAGTAGTCTTGACGATAGTCAATCTCCATATTATTTGATTTGACTTTAACGTAGTGAAAAGATATTTTATTGGCTCAAAGCCGCGGCATTTCCTTTTGTGAGCTAGACAGGTGTGGGTTGGAACACCATGCATCCGAGGCAGTGATTCTGTGCCATGGAGGGAATTCAGCTCCTCAATTCCACATACTGTGTAACGAGCCATACCAGATTTTATGAGTAAAGGCGGGGGCATTCACTCTATGCGTATATCAGGATATGGTCTACTCATCTTCAGCATCATAAAAAACAACTTCAGACAAATTTCCATTTGCAACTAGTACACAAATCCTCTTCCTAACTCTCACATCTAAAAAAAAAAACATTTCTATTCCTTCAATATCCACCGGATTAGTACTTTGGCAGATCAAAATGACACTCCGTCTCGTACAACTATCAGACAAATTCTCCTGCTACACTAGAGGAGAGAACGAAGCAAGGTTCATATACAACGAGATATTCGAAGACCACGAGTATGACAGAGTCAAGCTGTCCAAGACCCCATTTATCGTTGACGTGGGCGCCAACATCGGGCTTTTCTCTCTCTACATGAAGGAGAAGTACCCACTCGCCAAGATCATCGCCTTCGAGCCGGCACCAGAAAACGTCGAGGCGTTGAATCGGAACTTAGCTTTCCATATGGTATCCACTGTCGTGACGTATCCGTACGCGCTTGGCACGGAGGCCTGTTCTACGGCGTTCACGTACTTTCCGAACATGCCTGGTAACTCTACTTTGAATATCGAAGAGAAGGAATGCCAGATCCAGCTCTTCAAGGAGAACTATGAGGAGACGTTTGGGGATGATATATTCAGGGGCGCTAAACAGATCATGGTTCCAGTTAACCGACTTTCGTATTTCCTGGGTCAATACCACGGCAATGTTGAGGTGATTGACCTGCTCAAGATTGATGTCGAGGGCACGGAGTCTGAGGTGCTAGGTGGGATTGATGATGCGGATTGGAACAAAGTGCGAAATATCGTGATAGAAGTGAGTAATCTGAAGGGAGGTCTCGACAAGGTGAAACTGTTGCTGGAAACTAAAGGATTCACGGTTACCTATGTGGCCGCACGAGGAATTCCAGAGATATTCAAGATGTTCATTGTTACAGCTTGCCGTTGAGAAGGTTTATGGTATATGAGGGCATGCACCAGTTATTTTCTCCTATAGTGATATCTTATTCCAGGATGCCTATATCTTCCTCTACAACTAGATAATCAGTACATATGACCATAAGATGAGTACAGGTGAGCTAGATAATTCAATACAGGCTTAATGTCACGCGGTAGCTATATAAGGTACAGTGACACAGAGACCCCCCTTCTGCTTTACTCCTGTGTTGTTTACCGCACTCAGGGGAGTGTGAAAGACTATACATCCTTACCCTTCTGAATCTCATGATCGATTAAGTATAATACTCGAACCACCAGTATCACACTGTCCTCCTGCATTTCCCTAGCCATGGCCTCAGCATCTGACCGAGGGCTACCTACAGGTGGTCCGTTCTCTGAATAGCAACGCTTGCAACCGTCCAGAAGACGGCAATGAAGGAAGAACGCAGTAATGGGTGCACGGTGTAATGACCTGCCTCAGATGACATGATGCTAACCGGGGTCGGAACATCCTCCTTCAGGTAAGGTCATCCGATTGAAAGCTGCGAAGCATCATACATGGTAGATATTAGGGCAGGTATGGTAAGGGTACGTAATTTCGTCGAGTGGTACTGTTACATGGTATCATTATGTATTGTGATGATACAACCCCTTACCAACAGCCATCAGGATAAGCAACTAAATGTGCCTCTCCTGCTTCTTTGTTTATCCTTCCCTACAATCAAGGCTTGAAGCCCGCACTTATTAACTGGGAGCGTTCAGTTAGATATATACATGCTTCACAATGACAAATCCAACGATTGCCCGGTGATGGTAAGTACTTATTTATGTTGTTGCTTGTTGACCTGATTCATCCAGGATCACTTTCCTCTCTCTGGTTCATTCTTCGTTCTACCTCCCCCGGGGGGTTATTAATTCCAAGAATCAAGATTTATGAAACACTCTCCTCACTTGACACTCCTAGCGTCATTCCTCGCATCCCAACATAAGGAAATATCTGTGGAGACTGGTTGGTTGAAACAAGGTCAGCCTTCGTCAGATCTCCCCCCATATCTGGGTGGGAATAGACGTAGAGCGTTCTAAGACACCGGATTTTCATAGCTGCATATGCGTATGCAGACCCGCTTAGGTCTACATCGTCCGAATAAGCACATGATGCGTTGTTAGTTGGCACCTATCAAGCCCCAGATGGGACAAAACGAGGCTCCACGGTCAGCTTACCCCGTGGTCTTCAGGCCAAGGTCATCAATCTACGGGAGCTGGTGGGGTGACAATTGTGGACATGGCATATGTCATGCAGAAATACCATTCAATTACGTCTCGGCCCCAAACACGACAATTTCTCCTCATATCTACATCTACATCTGATCCGTTGACCGAGCTATAATTTCCCTTTCGAAGGCTCGGCAGGAATTCTTTGGGTATGCCTGTAGTGCCAGGAAGGGTCTGCTAAATCCTTCCGGATAGCATAGTTTGCTTCCGCTTCCTCTAGCACCGCTAAATCCAGAGTAGCAACGCCCATACCTTCAGCTGAAGTGCCCAAACGAACCAGCGGACCGGCATAGGGGATGTTGATTTGGGAAAGGCCACAGTAGTTCCTACCTGGAGGCCCGCCTGCATTGGCGAAGACTACCGCACAAGTATTTTCAAAGGTACGCGCGGTCAGAATACTGTCGAGGAACAGGGATGGCGCTGATGGGTTCTGACGATGGCCAGCTTCGGAGGCTCCGCTACGGGTCCACAAGGTGGGCACGATGATGATCTTGGCTCCCTGAGATACCAGTTCCCTCCAGGCTTCAGGAAATGCTAGATCCCAGCACACGAGGAGGCCTACAGGGCCCAAGGGGGTCGAGATGACTTGGTGCGGGCTGTTGCCGGAGGAGCGAAGGTACGCTCGCTCGGTAGGACCCCAAAGATTCTTTTTCACGTAAGAGCCTAGGATCTCGCCTGTGTTGGATATAAAGAAGGCGACATTCTCCAAGGCTGGGGTGGGCTTGTCGATGGGTTCTGTGGATGAGGCTGATGCTTCTTGTGGAGACGCTGATACAGGGCGCACAATGGACCCCGGTACAATACAGGTATTGCACTCTTTGGCTAGAGCCTGATACCGATGCACGTAGTTCTCCCAATCATCACACAAAGCGGCGAAACTCGGATCGGTTGGAATCCAGTTCGTCAAGTGGAATTCTGGCAGCACGGCCAAATGACAACCCTGGGCAGCGGCCTCGCGGATGAATTGCACCGCCCGGGCGAAGTTGTCGGCCGGTTTGAGGGGCTACAAGCACACGGAATTTAGATATATCCACGACCCCTCCAGCTCGAACAAGGGATAAGGTTGGGTATGGAGATTCTAATTGATGCAAGATGTTCAAGACTTACTTTGACATACAACTGAATGACAGCTATCTTGCAGTACGGCAGCATGATGAGTGAGGGGATGACGGGGCAACGCCGGGGATCTGATAGCGATAGAATGGAAAGGTGGTGATGGTCAACGTCTTATGTGAGACCCCCGGCCTGGACCTGCTTAGTAGTAGTACATTAGCTTCCCCGGCACTCTCCTATTTATTGGCTGCCTCGGGTTGGGACACGGTCATCCTGCAGGGGTGAAGCTTTAGGGCACTCGGAGTGGCCGATGGTGGCAGCCGATACGATCCGTTAGGTCATACTATATCCAGTGGTTGGGGTGTATTTGTTCCACATAGCTGAATTGTCATGCTGACGCTCTCAGAAGAACCGGAAGCAAATATGTCTCCTACTACACTAACAGTCAGTCTCATTTATTATAGATCATTTATTATTCCTACCCTATATAACCCTCCACAAGTAGAAAACTGGTACATACGACCATAGGGTGTGGAGAACAGGGCTTCCCGTCCGCTCAGCCGTACTTAAGCCACACGCCGGGAGGTTAGTAGTTGGGTGGGTGACCACCAGCGAATCCCTCCTGTTGTATGTATTTTTTTTCTTATTTTTATTATCTCGTGGTGTTTTGTTTCACCTCTCACCATAAGGACATACATAATCTGCTAGAACGCCCAATCTTACACGCCTAGTCTTGCTGGATGTCACACTATCCGTCCTTGTTTCTTTATCCAGTGTATCCTAACCATAATTTTTCTTTTCTTTCTTTTCCTTTTTGCCTTTTTATTTTTTTTTATAAAACAAAAAAAAAAAAAAAGAAAAGAAAAGAAAAGAAAAATACTTTGTCCTCCACTCTACCTATACCGGATCCCATGCAACATCTGGCCGAGATAAACCGCTATCCTACAATCTTTCTGATTTACCTTAGATAGCAATAAGTATCATTATACATACATTACTATATGCAGTATCTATATCGTTTGTATGAAATATCCAGACTTGACTATCCGTAACATACTGTATTCTGAGCTACATGCTGGAACCTATTTGCCATAGGCTGATGGTTATATTGTTGAGAACTGAGCTGCTCTCATACATATTCTTCTAAAGAAATAAAGCATGGAAAACAGACATTCGAGCTTTTAGCGACTGTCTTCGACTTTTGACAACCCTTGATTATGGTAAGCCCCTAGAGTAAATCTATGTTAAGGTACGGTCTATGTAGAGTAATGCAAGCCCTATAACTTTGTGCAGACAGCTGACTCGGTTCAGTATCGGGTTCCATTGTCGAACATATTTTTCCTTCCTTATAAGATATTGCTAGGTTCTAGAACAATACTTTACTGACAAATGCAAGCAAGCGTTCACGAATCCATAAATCCAAAGTGCATTTCCAGAATGCACCCCTGTAGAACAAAAACTTGGGAAAAGAAGTTCTGGCTCAGGTTTCCGAGCTCGTTCTGCGGAAGGAGAACTTTGTCCACACAGGAGGAACATAAATAACACCGACAGCTCGGTTTAGAGGACGTGTCGAAAACTGACGAAATTCATAGTTCATCATGATGTACGCTATCATAGATTTTAGGAGATGTGAAGCGTACACACGACCTGGACTGTCATTTGCGTTAATAGTTTATTTTATAGTATTGCACGCAGTATAATAGAAGTACTAACCAAGAGTGATTCCCCGAGCTAAATCCAAGAAAGCTCTCAGTGATAACTGTTAAAAGTGTTTTGCTACTGCTACTATTAGTATGACCAGTAAACCGGTAGGGGTTATATCTCTTCGGTTCAGAATACAGCCGGTTGTCATGATGTATTCCTAACGTTGGCACGCAAACCCAGGTACCCTGGGGCAAATGGTGGCCACTAGGTATAACAACACCCTCCTTTGGCATAACTTCGTGAAACAGTCCGTAAATACTGAAAGGATTCCTACGCAGTGTTTCGCGCAGCGCACTATCCACCAGATGAAGTCGCTTAATGGATGAGATATTAGGTATCTCCATATCGAAGAAAGCAAGCTGCGCTTCCTCGCGAAGATCTCGAAGAATATTCTCAGATTCTGAACTTAGTACATCGCAAAAGAAGTTTGTCGCAGTTGCTATGACAGCTTCCGATGTTGTGAATGTCTTTTCTGATGGTTAGCTATATCCAAAGATTTAGAAACTTGAGGTAGACCACACAGATTCAACAAATTGAAGAGCCAGGTACCCGGGGTCCTGAGCCTCTGGCTTCTTACTTTCCAAGGCAACTTTTGTTGTCCATGTGATAGCATCCTTCGGTATCCCATCGGTACAAGTAATCCCCATCCTGCGCAAAAGCTCTAGGCGCTCCTCGAAAACCGGGCGTAGACGGCGTACCAAAAACCACCGATGGTATTTCAGGGGAAGACCCAAAATGATTCCAAATATAGGCCGAATAGCCTGTGGTAATAGCTGACCCACGGAAATTAGGATAAAACCAAACCACTTCACGTATTGCTCGGCATGGTAGACGAAAGCTTTATCTCGACATAATGGTTCCCCGAGAATTACGCGAAGATTTGGTCTGGAGATAATCTGTCTCATAGCTGAGTAGATATTCAGAGTCCTCCAAGATACGGGGTCAACACCCAGCACTTCGTCCACTGCGATACGCAATTCCTCCATAAATTTATCATAGATATCTGGGAAGTTTCGCGTCAACTCCTTCCCTATAATCTTACGAACACCAAAGTCTCGTTCATGAACACCTGGAACAGTATAATCGAACGCAAACTGTTCAACTATCATCTTGTCATGACTTAGTATATGTTCCGACTGGTTAAGAACCCAGCGAATATGTTGTGGTGGCAAAACAACGCGAGATTTGAAATTCGAGAAAGGAATGATGAACGGGATACCATTCATTGAAAACTATAGTAAAGTTATAACAGCTGATTTGGCAGAAGTACACAGTACATGGACGAGGGATGAAATACCTTTTCATATCCGATCCTTAATGTTTCCAGACCAGAGTAGAATGACTTCAATGAGCCTATAAGTACACAGAATGGCCCAGGCGATTTACCCACCCATTCCATAGACACCGATCTGTTGTCATTGAGTGATTTATAAAGTATTATCAGTGAAATAGCAAATATTGGCGCACAGTATGTGCCATTCAAGCACATCAACAAGAAATGAACGAACCCCATATCGAAGCCGTCCTACATGGATCTCATACGGTACATAGAGAGGCGAACTAATGCCTCTCTATGCCTTTATAGGTTTTGATACTCACATGCCCAACAAACAAGACATCGACAAATACAGCAAAGATCTACCACCCCTTACAAGTTGCCTTCTGCAACCCCCCAAAGTAGACCACATTAACCAGGGTCACTATGACTTTGGCTGACGAGTGCGGTCGAGTACCCTTAGTACAGTTTGACACACAAACAAGTTGAACTCAGTTCACTCACATATATGCGAAAAAGGAAATCGAAAGGGTATTTATTATTTATTATTTATGTGTGCATAAAAATGCAAAAAGAAGGAAGAAATGAGGGACGGGCCGGGTTCGAACCGGCGACCTAAAGATAGGTTGCAATACTTGGTTAACCAGGTATTCATTGCAATCTTCCACTCTACCACTGAGCTACCGCCCCGTTGGATGTTAATCTGCTAGATACTTTGTGTTGATAAGTGTAATGCATATAATTTCATAAACAGTATTACTCGATCATTCCACGGCCCTAACTATCTATTATATGAAATATAACCAGCAGTTATGTCGAGGACCTGAATAAATACTAGAAACGAGCTCAAAAATACCACGGTTGATCTTTTATGATCCATACAGTCATTTTTTCTTACCCAGTGGTCTGACAGGACAGCAGACGCATTGGCCGCTTCCATGACCCTCCGGTGGAGTTGTTGTCTCGACGACTTCATATAGTGGAAGCTATTCTAGGGTCTTTGGTATGGTAAGTGGTTTTAAGAGCGATGTTGGTTAGTTTGTACTCTCCGCATTATGTACTATGTTGTTACTGTAAGGTTGGGTGTATACTACTAGTAATTATGTGTTCTCACTGCAAAGGAATATATATTCGGGTTCTCCTAACAATCATCTTAAACCCAACAAGAGAAACATCCTAATATCTCTTGGCCAGCCATAGCCTACCCAAACAAAGACACATTAGTTTCAAGTGGTACCTTTTGAATAACTGATTCATACTCCCAATTCGTTGCAATAACCCCAGAACCACCATCCAAACCTCATCATTCGCTGTTGGTACATCATCTGTAGCACAAACATCAACTAACCTCATAGGCACCGTGGGCTTCTCCGTGTTTACTTTGTGAAGTGACTCATCATGAGAACCCAACATCTGTATAACTATCCCAAGACCTCAATAAATAAGCCATGAGCCACCCACCCCTGAAGCCATGCAAAAAACCCCAAATCCCATCCCCAACGAGCCCCCAAAATGGCAAACATAGACCAGCCCTCAACCACCAACCCACTCCACACCTACTGCACACACATCCCAAACCACCTATCTTCTCTCCTAAATACAGACCCAGCGCTCATCTACCACGCCCTCCAGCGTCCCCAATACCCTGAAAAGGGAGACTTCGTCCTCTCCATCCCAGCCCTCAGAATCATTTCCAAGAGACCGGAAGACGTCGTCAACATGATCCACAAAAACGCAAGTTTACCTCTCCATATCCTCCCACCCATACTACTGAATCATGACTAGTAATACCCAACTAACAAACCCCCCCTTCTACTAGCAGTTTAGGAGGCAGACCTCTCCCTGTTGCATGAGAAGCATGCGACAACCATGGTGCAGAAGCTGGCACAGTGGCCTGAAGTCTTCCAGACCACTTTTAAGAATAAAGAGTCTGTTACAGTGCTCACATATCTGTGGAAACTGACTCATATCATAAATTCGAGCTATGACCACCTCAATTTTCTGAATAGTGAACTTGAGCTGAAGATTGCACGGCTTACCCTTTATAGTTGTGCCAGACAGGTTTAGTCCAATGCAATGCGACTACTTGGTATTACACCCGTGGAAAGGTATCAAGTGAGACCATCCTGAATTGATAAACTGAGTGTGTGCTGACATCCACATAGGATGTAACTCAGCTGATGGATAGGGTGAGAATGCGAGTTCCACGGACTCATCGCCCTTGGCAAAGTAAAGTGCAGTTCATAGAAACTGGTGACAATATAATGGGACTTCACTTTGACCTTCTATGTGAGAGAAATGTAATATCAGTGATAAAACATCAAATGATTCACTAGGCATCTTCCTATGCTGATGCTATTGTACACTAAACCGAGCAAACAATCCCAGTAGCGAACATGCTGCATTGAGTCATACTTCTAGTTAGATAACAGATCTCCACAGTATCCTGAGGTACAATATGTACGGCCAATATTCACTTGACAACTCTTCAGCTCTTCCTTCACATGGATCAGAATTATACAAATGGCCATGACAAACCTAATAAATTCTTGTCTAGACTTCGCCCCTCCTCCACATCCCAAGCCAAGTATCTATTTTCCGCTTGGCTTCACGGAAGGAGTCCATGGCTTCTTCAAGTGAGTCCGACACCGCCTGCCACTTCACTTCACATTCACGCACAGTCTCCTGGAAATCTTCTGCCAGGATATTGTTTAGAGCCATGTTCGACGCGATCGAGAGATTTGCTGCCATTGTTTCAGCCGGAACTGCTGCAGCTGCTGGCTCGGGGGCAGTAGCCTGACCACTCTTACCTTCAGCACTGGTTCCGATGCGCTGCGCAGGCTTACGCCCTCGTCTGGGTCGCTTAGGTGGGGATTCCGGTTCCTCTACAGCTTTTCCCTCATTAACTATGGCTTGGGCTTCCTTGGGCTGCTTTCGAGGTCTTCCCCTCGGCCTTGGAGGGATTTTACCAATTGGTGTATCTGCTGCTTGACTCTTGGGGCTAATACCTTCTCTTTTTGAGGATGCCTCCTCTTCCGGATCGTCCTGTGCAGGTTGGTCACTTTCCTTAGGCTGAATAGGTCTCTGTGCTTCTGGCTGAAAGGCATCTGCAGACATACAAAATTAAGCAGCGCTTCGAGTACAGAGTAATGGGGCTAATTGTACAGAACTTACCTTCTCTTGGGTTCACGACGGGCTTGCGGTGCGTACATCGAACCTTGTTTTTTCTACAGGAACCACATGCCGGCTCCATCTTAACCTTCTTGGCCGGATTCGGTGCCGGTGCGCTGACTTTTGGCTAGGATACAAATTAGCATGAATGTGCTACATCAGGAGGAGATAAGGATACTGCAAACCTCATGCGAAGAAGGATCTTGCCACACTTGTTCAACATATGAAGTACCCTTGTGACTAGTACCCTCCACACGCTTATCGGGCTCAGCAGCTAGTACTCGTTCTCCGACACCTAATGCCGACGCTTTGCGCTTAAGACGATTGCCACCCCTCAAAGCCTTGTCCGACTGAGCTGCCGGCATCGGCTCAGCGGCGCCGGTACCTGTTTCAATCTGGGAAGGTCTACAACCCACCGGGACCCTCCCAGGATCAGGAACGAGAATGGGTTCATCGGGATCAGCAGCTTCCTTCTCCTGTCCGGAATGACTACCACCTCTCTCGGAACTATCAGACTGAGTGGCTGGCACCAGGGTATTAGGTTCAGTCGGTGACCCAACTTGAGGACCAAACGATGCGATTGGCGCATTGCTCGTGGTACACTGTTCGCACAACTCGATCTCGTCAGGAACGTCTTCGGCGCGCGGACCGCCGCAGTTATTGCAAGGCCTGGCCATTCTCACAGGGTCTATTAAGAGCGGCACTTTGGGTAGCCCTGTCAAAATAGGGCGGCGCAATAGTTGTATCAACGGATCGATAGGGGAGAACGAAAGAGAATTGGCATTCGAGGAGTTCGTAAGGGTTCTGCTTCTGCGGGTGGTTTTTGTTCGCGCGTTCTTTCTATGAAGATGATGCACGCCTTTGTCAAATCGCTTTGAAGAATGACCAAGAGATCTAAAACGGACGAGAGAAATGATGGATGGGAGAAGAGTAGAAGCTCTGGACTTTAGAGGATGTGAATGGAAAAAGTGGGGGTAGGACGATTATGGAAAAGGCATAAATATAAATAGGGCCGCAGGAAAGGAACGGAGGAAGAGAGAGAGAGAGAGAGAGAGAGAGAGAGCGCGCTTTAAGAGATTGAAGAGTAACATCGGCTGACTCTTCGCATCGAACACATGACAGTGTCTGGCCGGAATAAGCTACACTCCCATTGATGTTTGGACCGAACGAGACGATGTCCTGGAGTGTTATAAACAATGCACGATTGCTCAAGCCTCATTGTCCCCAGACAAAGCAATTCATTCGCATCCTGCACTTGCCCTTCTCCACGCTTTTTGCTGTTACAACTTGAAAGAGTGATATTTGAGGTTCTTACATGACATGATTGTTCTATCATTGTCTCCGTTGTATGCATCCTCTTAGACGCAACAAAGCATACGAAAGTATTTGCAGCATAACAACCAAGACAACGCAGCCTACACATCCGCAACGTTCATGGCCACAGTTCCGTTTCCACCCATTCTCCCTGCCCATCGGTATTCTCTGCAGGAACAAAGGTCCATCTCACACGCCGCACATTCTGAAGGTCCGACAGATCAAGGCGCTCGATCTCGTTTGGACGAATAACCACCACTCGAAAGTTCCCACGCGCAACAGAATCCTGAAGATTATCCACTTCCTGGCCCAATTTCAAGCTTGGGTCTGCAGGCTCCTGGGATCGAGGCTGACCAGGCGGGGGATTCTTGAACGAACCTATACCAATCAGTCAACGCCTTACCCTCTCTTCGTCAGGAAAAAAAAAAAAAAAAAAAAAACAAGGAACAAACAAACCTCTCATAACAGGCGAATGATTCGCAAAATAAGCCGTTACCTGCCTCTCCCAGCTCCATCCACTCAAATCCGCATCGTTCCCTGTTACATTCATCCCCGTCTGAATCTCCTTCCTAGCCGCCTCCTCATGCGCTCCACCCTTCGGGTCCCCAATCACAAACGCCTCCCCTTTCACGCGCCACTGGTTCCCAACATCCGTCAACCAGAAGATACCCTCCACCACATTCCCAGAAGAATCAAGCTGCCCGACCTTCTCCATCCGGATATCAGTCGTGAGTGAGATCATGTCACTCTCATACACAGCGGGGTTCAGACCAATGCCCTGGCTGTTTAGCGCCTCGACAGCCTTGTCATGAAGCTGTGGGTTCGGCCAGAAACCGCGAAACTCACAGGTCCGCGAGCGCGGCACGGGCCTGTTCTGAGAGTCGTGGCCGACAGTCGAGAGAGTAAAGGAAGTAGAGGAGTTTTGAGTCAGATGAGACTGGAAGAGGGAGCGCCATGGGGCTTGGGGGGCCATTGTGGATGTAGATGTTGATTCAAACTGGATAAGCTCTTGTGTTGTGCTGGAAGGAGTATGCTGGAGGTGGGATGCTAGGGAGGAGATTCTCCTGCTGCAAGTCCGCGAAGCCAGTTTGACTGTGACGTTGGGGGTTGAGATAATTGGATACTGCGCAGTGGATGCTGGTCTGTCTAAAGTTACCAATGTTATCGGTGATTGGCTAGAACTGCGCGATGTAAATAGACCCTCAGTGACAATATTTACTATCTCTATGATTGTGTTCCAATGCGAGGTACTAGCTGAATAGTACACGTGAAGATTGCTAGTGAGTCACTGTTGACATGACGTCGACACGTGCTGGTTATCTTATCTGATCAATGGCATCGTATCCCACCAAATCCCACCAACTGGACAATTCATAGTGATATTAGCCCTTGAGCAACACCGACCTTCACATCTGCTCATGCACGGTAGTATAGTCATGCCGCTGTCAGGTATCTTATGTCATTTGGTAGCCGTGAATACCTCGATCTAAATCGTATGTAATACACCAACAGCTGGGTTGCAGCTTTGAACTGCGCCAAGTCACTCCATACCATCGATCTGCGCCGAAACAGGCCGGGCAACAAAATGCAAAGAAAGCAAAGAAGCAGAAGAGCCTTCAATTCCACTAAATATAAACATTCCACAAACACCACCACGGCCGAACGAAAGCTTTTCTGTATTGAGCCGAAGATCAAACGAAAAAAATTGAAGCCTGGACACGCGAAAGATATCACATCTTTCATGCAAAAGAAGATCCATAACAAGCTCTGCACCAAATTCATCATAACAAGAAAACAGAAAAACGATAAGCCCGTTTCGGTATATATTACGTCTGCATTTGATCCGGGTCCTCGACCACATCGAGCGCGCCTCCGGGTATCCGACCTTCGTTCAATTCCTTTTCCAGTCTCGCAATCTCTTGTAAGCTCCTTGCTTCGCGGATCATCTTCTCGACGCGTTTTCTCTCGGCCTCGGTCAGCTGGACTCTGACGGCCTTGTCGGCGGGTGCTCTGTCTGCTAGGCTTCCGGATGGGACGTCGAATGTGCGGGACTTGATGCCCATGATCTTGGAGGCTAGTGCCGACGGTTCCTCGGTGGTGCCGAAAAGTTCCTGGGCCTTTTCACGCTCGGCGTCCTTTACCTTCTGGTAGTCCAGGAAGCGCACGCTAGGGATCCTCCAGATGACCCAATACCGGTAGTGCTGTGATGATCAGTAAGCGCTCCCATTTCTAGTTTTACCAGTTGGGAAAAGACAGTATATGCAGGTTTTGAATGGTATTCCAAATGAAGCAAAACAACGGAGCGTATGGAATGCCTACCTCTTTCCGGGTAATGGGGTTCTCCAACAACACCAAATGGGTCAACTTCGTCAGGTTGCGCAGAGGATCCAAGTCGGCGAGCTCGGTCATATGGTTAGATGTTAATACAAGGTTGGTCAAGTTCGGCACGGACGTTGCGAGCGTGGGCTGGATGTGCTTGACTCGATTCCGGGCGAGGAGAAGGGTGTGGAGGCGGGGAAAGAAAGGGAAATTCCCAAGGGTGGAGATATCGTTGTCTGTGAAATCGATTGCATCTTGGTCCTGCCAGAAGGGTTAGCCTCTGCCTCGATTGACTGGAGGGAAATGGGGGAACAGAATGCCATACCTTGGCAATACCTAAGTTCTCAATCGCGGGTATTTTGTGCCCTATACGACTCAAAAGAAAAACGATATCAATCCAGCTCTTCAAAAAGTGTAGTAACTGTCCTTTTCAGACCGATGTGTAGAACGCACCTCGGAGATCTAATTCGCGATCCTTGAGCGGGTTGATGTACGACAGGGAATTCTGGATAAGCTCGACGGTCAATCGCATTGCGGCGGTGCGTGTTTATGTGTCGTTCTATCGGGTATCATGCAATTCTGAGAAGAAGCAAAGAGTACGAGTAATATAGAAAAATCCAGAGTCCGACGGATTACGCCCAAAGGACAGCAAATTGACAGTGAAAAGAGCAAAGTATGCGGAGACCAGCCAGAGCTCCTTTGCGCATACCAAATTATCGAAGCGGTACCGCAAAGGATTTTGCCAGGGCGGTGAGTTGACGAATCAGCACACGTACACGTGATCAAATATGTATGGGTTGCGAAGAAAAATTGTCGATTGACTACTGGTATTGCAGAATATTCAAAACTTGAATTAAAATGCGTAATATTTGGTATAAATAGCCGAATCTGGTTCAGGCTAGGTGGCATAAGTCTATAGATACATGAAGCGTCATTAAAACGTATAAATCGCCCAGTCAGATCCAATGAACGACTTCGGGAGAAAAAGCAAAAGTAAACGGGACAAGAAAGCAAGCAGCAGCTATGTACTTCGGAGCAAAAGTGCTCCTTGCAAATATCACACTGAGAAGTAATCAAAGCAAATGTCGCCATCATAATGCAGACTATTTGGTACGGGAACCATGCCACAAAAGTGGTCCTTTTCCCGCCAAGTCGTACCAACAACAAAACCGAAACTCCTTGAGATAATGCTAATAATAAGGGACGTGAAGAGTTTCAATGTAAAAAGCGTCATACAACAGCATCAATCATCATGCGACAGCGGTGTCATGATGGGTGATCTATGTGGGTGGGATCTCGAGGGACTGCCTGCCCTGGAGCGTCGCCCGTTTGACGTCGGGCCCAATGCTATAGGAGCGAGATGGTCCCGACTCTCAGTCCTCACCACTAGACCTGTGCGATCCATGGTGTTAATACCAGAGCCAGCGGTGATGCCAAGTCCAATGGTCCCGGTTGAAGAATTGTCTAGGCCAAATTTCAGACTGGGTGTGGGGCTGCCCCAGCTTGATGCTCGCTTGGGCGGCAGGAAGCTTGCCGATTCATTATCCGACAGGCGGTTTATATCCAGCGAACTGCGTCCGGAGACAATTCCACCCAGGTCGAACTCATTGGCACCATCTTCAAGAACACGCTCATAGGAGGGGCTTCTGGGGCCAAAGAATGGTAGCTTTCCACCAAAGAACTTGCGCTTCTTCGGGTAACTAGGATGGGACCGCCCTCCGAAGAGGTTGTTGATCTTGTGGAACATCCGTGAGCGGCGACTTCGGCCGCAGAGGAAGAAAATCATCATGATCATGATGAGGAGGAATAGCACAAGTCCTGGAACTCTGCGGGACGATCTCGCGTTAAGAAGAGCGTCATGCCAATTCGCGCCATGGAGACCCTCCGGATTTGGCAGCAACTCAGTGCTAGGGTACTGGAAATCGTTGGGAACGCCGGCGACATTGCTACCGAACCCAACGGGTAGTGTCTTCTCTTCTATCTCCACAGGAACCTGAGAGGATGCGTACAGAACCATTTTGCCTAGGGTCCAGCTAACTTCGGTGGAGTCGATTTTGTTGACTGCCTGGAAGGGATCGAGGTAGCCTTTCTCTTGCGCGTGTGTAATGACCTCCTGCGTGCCATTGTGTCCCGAACCTGCTGTGTCCTCCAATCCCACACGTGGAACTCCGATGCCATTGTGCAGAACATTAACAATCCAGGAAGCCTTGAAGCAAACCTCAGAAGCCTTCTCATGGTTGAGTTTCTTCCATTTATGGTCGTCTATACCCTTGGCGATAGTTTCCCAGTCCTGCGAACAAAAAGACTCCACACGCTGCTGATAGGTGTTGAAATCGTATGCCTTATCCTTATGGCCCATTTCGAAAACGTCATGCGTTGTATGCCAATACTCACTAATGCCAATGAAATGGTTGATGTCAAAATCAATTGCGGGAGCGTGAATACCGTGGAGGAGACAGGGCTGATCCAGACAGGGTGCATCTTTATCTAATAACGGGTACGTTTGCCGTAAGCACTCGTCGAACTTTCCAGTACCCAGGAGGTGCATTTCGCCTTCTTGTTCCGATGTAAAGGGCTTCCCATCAAGTGTAGTCCGAAGGCCACTGGGAAGACAAGGGTCAGGGAGTTCCTTGGTGCTATCGACCGCACTTGCTGCTTGCATGGACTCAAGATAGCGTCGTCGTGCCTCGTGCACGCCAAACTCAAGCCATGAGGTGACAAAAACTTTATGCTCCTGCGTTGACCCATCTACATTGCGTAGGCGCAGTAGCGTCAGGTCATTGGCATGCTTTTGTGTCTCTGTCGAGTTGGGAGCATATGCGATTTGCGCCGATGCTCCTCCCATGTCCAAAAAGCCATAAGTATGATGGCCTTTACCATGGTCATGCTGTTCAGGGGCATTGAAACTGCCCAGAAGGTAGTTGGCGGCGATCCATCCATACAGACCTTCCGTCACCCCAGGAATAACTTGGATGTGGACGTCACAATCGGGCAACAAGAAGTCGGAGTTGGCACGCGCATAGGAGCAAATCTGATCCAGGAGAAGGTTTCGTTGCACATCGCCTAATAATCGCATCCCGGCAGTGGCAAGAAGAAAGATCGGGGTATCCTTGATCGCATCAGGGGGCACAATTGTTTGAGCGTGTTCTAGCAGTTCTGCGAGATGTTGCGATCCAACTTCTTCCGGTCTGTCGGCAAATGAAGACACTCCTATAAGAGCAGGGTAGTCAGAATGCGTTTCGGTTTGTTGTATCCTGCAACGTTGAGTCTTTACCTGGATGTATCTTTTTGGTCCATTCCGGCTTCGTTTTAATTTCTGGCAAAGATCGCAGATCCTTCGAATCTGCCCCTTTGCGCGCAACAGCGTTGTCCAACCATCGATAAACGTAGACTCTCGTACCCTATCATGGATGTTAGCGGCGCGAAAGACGTACTCTTTGACATGCGGTAACTTACAGACGATCCTGCGTCGAGGACAACTCCGTAGTGCCCTGATTGTCACCCCATGGTCAGCGTCCAGCGAACATAGTAGCAAACGGGGAACCAAGAAGATTACATTTGCCCATTGCAACTGATGATTAGGTATTACTATAATAGCGATTCTCCAACACGCATGACAGTCGAAAGGCAAGTTCGATTAGCGAATGGAAGGGGAGCGGTACAGGTCAGTCAATGGCGAGCATTCAAGGGGGTACCGCAGTTTTTCTTTGAAACCGGGGGGAGATAAGGCCGGGGGTAAAAAGCGGCGAAAACGGGGCTAGTGAAGACGAAAAGATAAAGAGGTCGATTATAATAACTAAACGAATGGCCTTGCTGACGGACAGCAAGATGAAAAGTGACGCAGGCAAAACCACGAAGAAGAGGAGAAAGAACTCAGATTATTACTGGTTCCTCTGAGGAAGGTTGGAGAGGGACAAGAGAGGAAAGGAAAGGATGGGAAAAAGCCAACAGAGTAACATTGGATGGAAATGGTGGTAACGATAAGACGGGAACGGATGGCGACAGGACGCGACGCTGCCGATCTCCGGTCCTGAGGCCCGCCGTTTTCCTACTTGGGTAAAGGTCGGAACCAGCCTTTTTCTGAACTACTTTTGGAGGAGGCTGAACGATTTAATGGTAGACCCAACCTAGATGTCAGAAATGACTTATTAGACAGAGGAAGAGAAAGAAAAAAAGAGGAAATAAATTATCATAGTATGTATATATTATTATGAATTGTCATCTCGAATTTCACTCTCCAGGTTAGACAATAAACACGACCGAAGGGATCTGTGGGTATTAATCAAACCTCGTAATTTCGATTTTAATTAAAGGTAGAATTTATAGTATCCATCGAAGGGTCTGCAGGACAACCTTTAAGGGACTAAAATAAATCCCTGTCGCCTTGACGTAAGCTTCGGCCCTGTTATGCGGGAGGGCGGCATCCACCCTTCTGATTGGTGGATTTGCTAAGTGGTCTGAAGCCAAGCACGAAGCATTCGTCATCATCTCTCGTGAATTTCTTGCCCTTTTCCCCCTCCATGACGTTCGAGATCAGGAATGTTGTTCAACATGGAGCAACAACCGTTTGACCTACGAGTGATCGTCCCGTCGGCGACCGACCCCATAAACAATGGGGAAGAATTCCATTGAAGATTGAACCCTTAAGAAACACTAATCCTGAACCCCCAGATCGCCAAGGTGTGGAGTAATTGGACCCTGTTGCTGGGATGTACATATGTACGTATACAATTGGCACTCGTGCATAGGTAGTATCTAGGAGTACGTACTACTTTCATACCTGTCACATTGCTTATTCCCAAAACTGACCAAATTTTTAGATTATATAATCACTTGAATCATGTCCGCGCTATTGCAACGACTCATTGTACGGCCGCTAGACTGCTGGTTTCTTCTCTTTTTGCTCATCTTTTGACTCGGATGGCTCTTTTGACACCCCCATCAACATCGGACTGCTCATGCCATGTGCTATCGACCAGTCTCCGATCTGTTCGTCAAAGAACTGTGCCCGGTCGAGACCCATAATCTCCGATTCTTCATCCACCCGTAGACGCATCCCAGGGATGTACTTGAGAATGAAGAGCAAGATGTAGGACACGGTAAAAGAATATCCGGCAATAGCACAAATCTCAGCAAGCTGTCTGCCGACCTGAATTCCGTTGCCATCAATAGCTCCGCCAGTAAGACTAGCCCCATCCAGGGCTGAAATAGATTCACTCGCGAAAAGCCCGGTCAAGAAGGCACCTACCATGCCACCAATCCCATGAAGCTTGAAGACATCCATGCCCTCATCAATCCTGAGCCAGTCATTAATGTTCTGGAGTGATGAGCAAACGATGCCGGTAATGAACCCAATACAAGCCGCTAGCCAAAGAGAAACACAACCGGCAGCTGGTGTGATCCCCACGAGACCGGCAATGGCGCCTTCGCAAGCCCCAACCACTGAGAATTTACCTCTGTGTTTGATCATATCGACTAAGACCCATCCCAGGATCCCTGTGCATCCCGCCGTATTGGTGTTGAAGACGGCCACCATAGCACGCATACTGGCGTTAAGACTCGATCCACCCTACGTTCACCATTAGACGGATAGCCAGCAATAGAAAACGAAGGATAAAGCAAGACATACATTGAACCCAAGCCATCCTGTCCAGATGAGAACTGTTCCGAGAAATACCAACGTCGTGTTGTGGGGTTTGCGAAGCGAGGCTTCTCCATGGTGTAACCGTTTCCCGAGAACCAGCGCATATGCTAAAGCTGCACAACCTGAAGCTATGTGGACAGGGCCACCACCAGCAAAGTCTATGGCCTCAAATTTATAAAGCCAGCCGTTACTGCTCCATGTCCACCTGGCAAGGGGGCAGTAGACGATCGTGGCCCAGAAGAAGCTGAAGATCAGAGACGGTAAGATGTTGCCTCTTTCAAAGGCTCCACCCGCAAGTATCATTACCTGACAATCTCAGTAATTATGACCATTTGTTCATGAGATAGTAACATACCGTGCAAGCGCAGAAAAGGAGCTGGAATAGGCAGAAGACGATTTCTGGAAGCACCGTGGAACCGGGTGAGGGTGCCACCATGACATTCATTAGTCCAAAATTCTGCAGCGTGCCGATGAATGGCCCTCCATTTCTGGAATAAGCTAGAGAATACCCCCAGAATAACCATTGGAATGTGACACTACAACCTGTTGAGTATTTGTACTGACACCGTGCTATCACCTACAGGACTTACACCGCAAGGATCATAAAGCCTTGGAAGAGGAGGGCCAATGCCGACTTCCGTCGGGTTAATCCACTGTAGAGGAAAGCGATCCCGGGTAGAATTAAGAAGACGATGAAAGTGCAGGCAGTGATGTAGATGTAATTGTACTCCAATCCCGCATATTGTGCATTGACGTCGAGTTTGGTAGGATCGCCTCCTTCCGGCATAGAAGCATTGTACACCGGCTGTTAGCCGTACATAAGTCACCATTAGCTCGATGCTGTTATCGTAGAAGTCCCCCGCTAGGGTAGAGAACGACAGACATACCGCAGCCATGACGATCAGATACGCTCTCTATTCGGTGAGGAGCTAAGATGATGACAACAAATATATATCATAGCATTCGTTCTTGTTTTTGAAGCGATTGATCTTTGGGAAACAAGCGAAAAGCTGGACAAGCTCTCGGTCTCCATCGCAATTTATCTTCACCTTCTCCCTTGGTTTGCAGTATCTCTTGGCTGGACCCAGACTACCATAGGGTCGGGAAAGACGCTTGTTTCGAGCTTCTCGTGTCCTTATCTGCACGAGCCAAGACTCTTGGTACATAAATAGGCTCCATCCGTGATGAAATATAACCCAGTAATAGGGATTGTGAAATGGGCCGCTCGTTATCAGGGGTCCATCGCTCGAGCATATCCTCAGTCGCTGATAAGATACCGTTCATTGACTGATGACCATTGGCTTCGCATCTTCACCCTAGGATCTGGCAACCCGGTGGGGGTTAGGGCGAGATTTTCATGTTAGCTGTCTTGGGAAGTCAAATGCGCGAGCTAGGATGGTTATTGGTGAGAGATAACCTGCTCCTGCGGCTGAGGTGCTTTGCAGAGTTAATCTTATCGGCTTCCAATAGTAGATCTTCTGCTTGCTATACGCAGGCTTAGATCATCTCGCATATGCCGGGTCCTTTGATAAGAGTGATGAGAAAAGCTACAAATATGGCTGACATATGCTATGCAGAAGACCTGTCGACTAGTAGACGGTGGTTCAAGGTGGAGGTTATGTTATAAAGCTTCTACTTGTGGTTAGCCTCTCTTTAAGGCTGATTAAGCCTCAACACCTTTTTAAATCCCGCCGTCAACTACCGACATCCATCCTAGTCGCCGAATATCCCCACATTTCACTCCCCGCATAGGAGTCCGGGGAAGTACTCAGTCATACCCTGTATGGAGTACAGAAAAGAACCCCGAACGATCCACTTCGCTTAATAGAAGATCGGTTGTCTTACTGGGCAATTTGCCGTTGCAGCTTAGCCTGTCACGTCCGTGCCCTGATTGGCTTGGACCCTGCTTTATATCTCGGCTACCTTGCTTATTTTGGTTCGATTGAAGCATCGTGGAGCTTATATCTAAGACTTTTGAGACTCTATTGGATGAGTCTTTACCATGGCGGGGGTATCATGGAGTGGGTCGGTCTTGGAGAGTTATTTACTGCCAAGGCGTTTGATATTACCACAAAGCGTGAGGGACAGCGGCAAATTTTCCGCATCCATACCTTCAACATGTCCCGTGAACGTGTACCGTTCTTAAAAGCCTACCCCAAGAGGTGCCCCTTGGGGTACATAGCCCCATTCGATTGAGATCTCAGGCTCGATGACCCATTAAGGAAAGATGGGCGAAAATCCGGGAAGGGGAATGCCGATAGAAAGTGGGCCTAGGTACTTTCAGCTGAAGGCACAACAAGCCAAAGTTTATGCCTATATATACGGACAGAATTTTCAGCCGGACTTTCTGTGCTACATTGCAGACTTGCCGAATTGCCTTCACACCCAGGTCGTCACAAAATGTGGCACACAAAAAAAGCCAACTTTCTCAGCCTCTTCACCCTTCTACTAGGGGCTGTGGAAACCTCTGCTCAATCTTCATCTCAATGGCCCCAACAAACCTTTAAAAGTACCCCACTCGAAGCACCATACCTCAATGTCACCAAAAATGGTAAGACAGAACTGGGATACCTATTCTTCTCCCCATCGAACAGTAACTGGAGCTACCCAACCATCTACCAAGATGACGGACAACTCGTCTGGCGAGGTCCATTGGTCAACACCTCAGCCGAGCAGCCGCAAATGCTGAACGGCGAACCCGTTCTTGCCTACTGGAACGGCGCCAATATCAAAGGCTTCGGCTTCGGCTCCATCAGTATCCTAAACAGCTCCTATGACGAGATCTACAAAGTCACCCTCCCAGGCACGGAGGAGAAATTTGTCACTGTCCTGGACCCCGTGACATATCCCTCCTACATCGACATCCATGAGAGCCAAATCACAGACCAGGGGACCATCCTCGTAACAGCCGTAAACGTCACGCAAATGGACCTCTCCTCAATTGGCGGCCCCAAAGACGGCTGGGTGCAAGATGGCCTCTTCTACGAAATCGACATTAAGACCAACGATGTTCTCTTCCGCTGGAGTACTGTTGAGCATCTCTCTGAGATCCCTCTTTCCAACAACGAACTCCCCCTCGAGGGTAAGGGGACGAACAAGACCACTCCCTACGAATACCCGCACCTGAACTCCGTAGCCAAATACGGGGATTCATACCTGATCTCCTCCCGATTCATGTGCAGTTTCTTCTTCATCGACAAGAACGGCAATGTAACCTGGCATTTGCACGTAAGTCACCATCCCCCATACCTTCGGTATACACCAATCCCAACCTAAAACAAAAACTAACGAAAACCCCAGGGCCAAAAAGGCGGAGACTTCACCCTAACCCCAGGCACCAGCTTCTGCTATCAACATGACCCACGCTTTGGAAGTCAAACAGAAGACAAAATAACCATCCATTTCCACAACAACGAAAATGCTGATTTCACATCCGAAACTGTAATGACAACGGGCATGACCATCGCCCTAGACATGAAGACCAAGGTCGTAACCCTCGTCGACAAGATCTGGGACGCTGAGCAGCCTGTCTACGCCGAGTCTCAGGGTAGCTATCAGAACCTGACCAACGGACACGTGCTGATGCAGCATGGCGCGGTTCCGAAGCTAGAAGAATATGATGAGAATGGTGCGTTGGTTATGAGGGCCTGGTTTGGGTATCACGGCGGCACGAAGACGTACAGAGGGTATCGGTACCCGTGGGTCGGGAAACCCAGAACGAATCCGGATGTGGCTGCTTGTTCTGCGGAGGGGAAGATGGTGGTTTATGTTAGTTGGAATGGGGCGACGGATGTACAGGAGTGGAAGGTTTTAGGGGGATCAGAGGAAGGAAAGATGAAGAAGGTTACGGTGGTGCCTCGGAATGGGTTTGAGACTCGAATTGCTGTGGATGAGGTGGTGGAGAAGGTTGTTGTTGAGGCTGTTGGTGGAGTGGGTGATGGCAGGAGATCGGAGGTCGTTACCGTTGGGCAGAGTTGTTGAGTTGATGTTGAGTGCTTATAAATGTCTTACTGACATGCTTACTCTGTAAACACGATCCATGTTGGGGGCTGATATTGTACCTCAGATATATATTAATTCTTGTTAACAAATAGAAGGCTCTGGAAAGACGTGTATGCTTCAGAAACTAGACTGTATAATATGATCAAAATCTATGATCAGGTACGTATGCACATTAAGGAAATAGTTAAATACAAAGGGCTCATCGCGAGTAGAGTAAGGGTATTCACAATGCAAGCGGGCGTTTTAGAATAATAAACCATTTCAAAACGATCCCTAACAGAATATAAAACCATGGAATAGAATATTAGAGCTTCGAGCTGGGCGTGATGTCTTTTCTGCGCTGTTGGCGAGCGGAAACGTCCACGCTATCTTCCAAGTCAGGGCTTGCGGCGCCCTCAAATAGTTTACGACCGACCAAGTCGGTCATGATCAGAACGCGAGATGAGACCGTTGCGCCATCTCGACGGTTTTTCCTGCTCAGAAATTAGAATTAGCATAACCAACTTGAGAAGTATCGATAAAAGCATGACTCACCCCTCGCGCCTAGACTGAGCAATCAGCTCGGTAAAGTCCCAAAGGCGTCCACGAGGCACCAGCTTGCCAGTTGACGTTTCTCGTGCTGGAGTCCATTCGGGTGCAAGCTTCAGCACGGGTGCAGCGCGTGATTCTTTGCTCTTGCGAACAAGTATGATGCCTTCTTCTGCGAAGCGTTGGAATGCGTTCTTGAGGGTCTCTTTGTTGACGGCTTCGAAATAGGATAAGTCGCCTTGATGGTACAACGTTTTGCCGAGCTGGCCCTCATGATTAGATTTAGAATTATTGGGAAATATGTCAGGAATAGACCTACTAGCTGAGCGCTATCTTGCGCCTTCTTCAAGTCGATCCAGATATCCTTCTGTTCACCGACTGGCGGAGTGAGTCCAAGCAGAGACACCGAGCCGAGCCATGAAGCCTCAATGAATGGCCAGATCAAGAAACAGTAGAAGTCATAATTCTCTCTTCCACATTGCCGTTCCGCATCGCTTAGCTCAATGGACGTAGGTGTGCCAGAGGAATCCCTAGAGACGGTGATAACATCATCTTTCTCAAGTCCCTGGAGGGTTTTCTCTAAATTGGTAGTCAACCCCTCTGGAGGGAAGATGAATTCACCACGGAAAAGCTGGAAGGCGTTAATGATACTTCAGAAAGATCGAGAAAGTGGTACCATACCTGCGACAGAAAAGAAACCTGGTTTAAAAGATCCACATATGAAATTCGTTGATGAGAAGGGCCACCACCACGTTTGACCTTTGTGTACATAGCCGTCGACACTAGAGCTTCCGTAATGAATAGATGGATGGTCATGTTGCGATAGAAAGAGAGCTGGAAGCGATCCACAGCGTAGTATGTCGGCTCAGCAAGGCCGCTTACTACACCCACAAGCTTCGACCCGAGGACTTCAAGGGCACGATCAACGACCACCTCAGTCGGATATCTATAAAAGTGTGCAACCCGACCACCCTTCATGCGAACACGCTCACAAAGCCACTCAACCCGACGCACCAGCTCCGCTTTGCCGACACCGCGCCCGCGAAGCGTTAACAGCACAGTACCAACCAAAGCTGTAGGCATCATCACAGAGACATCATTGATCTCCGAAAGAACTCTATAACCCAAAGTCCTTAGAAGTCGGCCTCTTTCTTCATGGTTCAATTTCCTGCCGCTATTTAGGTCAATTTGATTTGGTAATCGAGTCAATTGCTGAGTGACAAATTCTCTCAGACTCCAAGGTTGGTGAAACCTAACATCAACTCGACCTAGCTTCAGGGATAAGACAGACGAAGACGAAAGGAAATCTGCCAGGTTCTCCTTGCGCTTTGGCTGACCAAGAAGTTCGCTGATATAGGATCTATAGGCAATGTCAGTAAGTGTGTATTTTTGTAGAGGGTTTCCTTCGTACTCAGTCTCGATAACTTTGTCGTATTGCGTGCTAACGGGGCAGATGATTGTGTCCTCCACACGGCCTGATAGCACGCTGTCTAGTATAAAGCTCAGGATACCGAATTTTGGAGACAACAACTTTCCAGTTCTAGACCGCCCGCCCTCAATGAAACATTCAAAATTGAACCCTTGCTGCAACAGTGTATCAATATAAGCCTGGACGACTGTATGATACAACGGGTCGTTTCCAAAGCTCCTCCTGATCCACATGGCACCTGCAGTCGTTAGCATGGATACGAGAGAAGGCATAATACTTCATCATACCAGCATGCTGCAAGAAAGGCCCCAGTAACGGGATGTTCAGATTGTCACCTGCCACTACCACGGGTAAACCAATCCCTAAGCGGTAGCAGATAAGTTGGAGAGAAACATAGTCGACATGCGACTTATGACACGGCAAAAAGACAATAGACTGTTTCTTTTTGGCCGCTTCTCTTGCAACGGATCGTAAGCGTAGAACTTCTTCACTCGATACGTGAATTCCTGCGACCATTAGCGATAACCCCTCACCAATGTTCAAACGCAGGCCTACCTTGGTGATAAGCACGCGTGAGAAGCTGAGTGCAGAGATAATATGCGCCCCGGATAAACCGCTTGCTCTCCATCTTGCAAATCATATTGTCCAGCATAGAGTCAACCACCTCCTTGAGGTTACTCTCGATCTCATTCCGCCGATGGGCCTTCTTCTTCAGAAAAGGACCCGGCTTCACATCTAAGAGGCCCTCCTTCTCTTCTACTGACAGTCGGGCCTCGGCTAGTTCCTTCACCTTGCCGCGCAAGAGAGGACTTGCAAGGATGTTCGTCTTCATCCTGTCCGTGAATCCGGAGTAGAATATAGGCTGCCCGATCACATCGTCGTACGCGCGCCAGCCAGTGCCTGACATATAGAGGCTCACTTCCCGTAGAAAGTCGAACGGGTTCTCCCGAAAGCGTGCCATATGATGGACAAGATTCCGCTCGGTAATTCCGTCATCTTGAGGTTCTGGCCCTCCGGTGAAACCACTGGGATGGATGGTGACTTTATCTCCAACAATTTCCAAATCTGGGGGCGATTGATCAACTGGGCCCTTCTCGGATGGCATCTTGGCTAGGGGCGAGAGCGGAGAAGTAGCTATTGTAGGGGACGAGCGGGGACGGAGCTAATCAGGGAGAATGACAGGATGTCCGGCTGCCATTGACTTCAAAAGCACGGGAGACGCAGCGGTCATAACATAAATGGTGCCCCGGAGCAAAGGGAGGAAGGTTTCATAGCCACGATAGCGGTAGAATGTTGTTGTGATTCAGTTCCCAACAAAAAGCGCCTGATCATCCCCCGGTATTTCCCCAGAATCAGTACCTCGGATAGTGTCACGTGATACAACACGGTCCTATGGCGTAAGGGGCAGTAACAGTAATAAATTACATGCAACCATGGCTCCAGAACTGTACGTAAGAGAAAAAAAAAGGCCAGGTGATGGGGCAGTCTAACCAAAACGGGCGCCGAGCGTTACAGTGGGGTGACAAAAGTTTGAAACCAGGATTTTATTGCCTTATCTAGCCGCCTTTCCAATTAGGCCATTCTGCCTGACAGAAACCCCCGAAAGCCTAGTATTTTGTATACCAACCATCTGCCTCAATAACTGCCTGAACTCAGTGAGGCATAGTAGTAGATAAGCGTATTAAAACACGACTTTCTATAGAATACTACGCTTCCTGGGCTGCCTTTATTATAAGCTCACACGTAGAGGCAGTATTAGGAGCCCTCAAAAGCTCTGGATAGAGCCTTCATAAGTGCCCATAGATTTTCAATAGGATTAAGATAAGGTGAGTAAGGCGGCCAATCCATTACCTCAATACCCATTTTATCAAGACCTTAACGTACAATATATGCACGGTGTATGCCGGCGCTATTATGTATAAAGATATCACCTTCTTCCAATAGATCTGGTAGAAAAGTACGATATAAAGCAAGAATAAGAGCTGCTGTAACACCCCCCCGAGACACCTCAGGGTTACTATCTAGAGGGACAAGTCCTGTATGTACACTTTCTCCGAAGGCAGCCCAGAACATCTGCTTTATATCTTTCCCACAGGATTTAGCACAGATATCGTGATTTTTAAGCTGATCCTTCGGACGTAGAAAGGTCCAGATTGGCCGTACACCAGCACCTCGTCCAAATATACATTCATTACTCCATTTAACGCGCGCCCAGTCCTCTGCAGTATAGCGTTGGTAATGTCTAGCCCAGGCAAAACGCTTGGCAGCGTGAATAGGTTGAATTTCAGGTCGATTTAGCTGCTTCTATTTCCTGCAGCCCATTTCATTCAGTAAACGTTGAATAGAACGGCGTCTGACCACGTAGTCTACCTCTGCTAATAGATCTTTATACTGAATATGTGGCTCTGAATGAGCTAAGTCATATATCTGATCATGTTGTTGCTCTGTAAGCTTTCGAGGGCGGCCAGAACGCGCGCGCGTAGTACTATTGACCCGAATTGACTCCCGACGTATAGTGGTTTTAATAGTAGAAAGCGGTATTTCTGGATACTTCTGATGAATTCTAGTAGGACCCCAGCTAATACTATGCAGCTCACATATACGTGAGCGCGTTTGGGGATCCAGCTCCTTCCTAGGGACCATAATTCAACGCGTATATAGACGTGTATAGGTTCAGGCACCCGAATTCAGTAGGGTTGAGATTAGGCGGTATCTAGGGCGGTCAAACGGGTGGTTTCAAACTTTCGTCACCCCACTGTAGGCCCGAAGTGGGCAAATTAAAGCTAGATCCTCTTCCCGAGTCCCGCGAAGGATGATTTCCACGCAGAAGCCGAGAGCACGACGATCTACCACCACCTCCTGCAATCAGAGAGCATGTGCGCTCGTCTCAATGGGCTGATGTGTCCTGGCGTGAAAGTTTTTAGCTTATAGACTTCGGTGTAACGGCCAATGTCACTGGCGATTTAGTGCCTGAGCCCGTTGTTGCTCCACAGTGGGACAGGAAGCACACTGACTGCTACATGGAAATCTGCGAGCCTGCCACCTCATAAATAAATCTCCAAGATGTTTCGGTGGGCGCGGGCATTCTCAAGTAAGACTTCAAGAGACTTCTGAATACAGACTGTATTCAAGCACATATTTCTCTGACAACAATTTCCAACGCAGCTGCCTCCTCTTTTTTCAACAACGCCTCAATGGCTTCCCCATCCCTCCGCCAGTACTCATTCCAAGTCTTCCGCGATGTCCCTCCGCTCCGCCAAATGCGCCGGCAGTTAGTGCTGGATAAGAAGACGGTCGGATTTGTTCCTACTATGGGGGCTCTTCACGAGGGCCATCTCTCGCTGATCCGACAAGCCGCGGCCGAAAACACCGACGTCTTCGTTAGCATCTTCGTCAACCCGACCCAATTCGGTGTCAACGAGGATCTTTCGAGCTATCCCCGCACCTGGGATAGCGATGTGGCCAAATTGGAACAACTAAATGATGAGTTTGCCCGTCTTGGGCATGATACTGGTCGTATCACGGCCATTCTTGCCCCTACTTCGAAGGTCATGTACCCTGCACTGCCGCCTTCCTCGGAAGTTGACGGGGATGGGTCTTTCGTTACAATAACCCCCATCTCAAGGAAGCTGGAGGGTGCATCCCGTCCAGTCTTCTTCCGAGGAGTTGCGACCGTTTGCATGAAGCTCTTCAACATCGTTCAAGCCGACCGTGCGTACTTCGGACAGAAAGACGTCCAGCAAACCGTGGTCATCAAGCGCATGGTGCAGGACTTCCACGTTGATACCGAAATCAAGATTGGCGACACGGTTCGCGAGCATGATGGGTTGGCGATGAGCTCGCGGAACGTGTACTTAGGAAATCGGAGACGTGCTGTTGGTCTAGTTCTCTACAATGCCCTGAAGGCGGCTGAAAACGCATACAACTCCGGCAAGCTGGCGCGAAGTGACATTCTCGATGCCGCTAACAGTGTGACATCCCAAGTCTTGTCCGAACAACAGGCTTTGTCGCCCTCTGAAAGGGCCCTTTATGAAGTCGACTACATATCCCTGGCCGATCCAGACTCACTAGATGAGGTGGAGTCAGTTGACCCCGCCAAGGGAGCCATCATAAGCGGTGCTGTCAAGATGACTCCTCTTGAAGAAACCAAGCCCGGCGAGGACTGTGGCTTAGGTGATGGACAGGTTCCTGTGAGACTTATCGACAATCTGATCTTTAAGCCTCGATCTTGAATCTTCTGCTCATTGGGAAAGAATCAGACATATATGGAATAGATAGATCATATTCAAAAGAGCGTTTATATAACCAGTTTTACCTAGAACAACGGCCAATGTACATATATCTGACACGTATGCTATGGTGGATTACTATTGCATCGACCCACTTGTATAATGCAAAATATTGAGCATAGTCCATGCTAAGAGTTACCAATCTAAAACCTGACACCCGCTTTCACAGCATCTCAAAGCAACCACCGATCTTCCGTAGCAAGCTCCCTCATCACCCAAAAAGGAAAATAGGGCACATAGAGAGGGCTCGGAAGCAAACCGGGCCGAGAAAATTTCCCTCCGCAGCGGGACCCATCGAAAAAAAGCAGCAGGCCTAGCTGCACCCAGCAACTAAAAAAGCCTCATAAAAAACCCAGACAAAACCAGAAGCTCGTCATTAGTCCCAAGATGGCGGACGACGGTTTACTCCTCAACTTCGCCATTGGCGACACGAACATAATCAAACCCGAAACCAGGCTCAAAGGTGGAACCTGGCGCGACCGCCTAAGCGCAAAGAAAATCGCCCAACACCGCACCAAGAACCCCCGGAAACCCGGCGAAGAGAGACCATCCTCGAACAAAGGTCCCCAGAACCCGAATCGCATTCAGGTATCCTCATCTCGGCCCTCGAAGAGACAGAAAACGGATACCGATGGAGACCATGAGAAACCTCAACGCGATAACAAGCAACACCCGCGGCAGTTCGTCTCGTCGCTTTTTTCGAAGAACCCTACGCCCCAGAATGTGGAGGAGGTGCCTGAGCAAGAGCCAATTGAGGATGCGAAGCCGACGAATGCGCCACTGATCGATGGACTGGATACGTTTACGAATCTGGGGCTGTCGCCGAGTTTGGCGGCACATTTGTTGACGAAGTTGGAGTTGAAGGCGCCGACGGGGATTCAGAAGGCGTCCATGTCACAGTTGTTGAAGGAGGATAGTGATGCGTTCATTCAGGCGGAGACTGGTTCCGGAAAGACGTTGGCGTATTTGCTTCCGCTTGTGCAGAGGATTATGACGATTTCGAACCCCAAGAATATGAGCACGGATTCGAGGGGTGAGCCGATTGTCCATCGTGATAGTGGGCTGTTTGCTATCGTCCTGGCGCCGACGCGAGAGTTGTGTAAGCAGATTTCGGTTGTTCTGGAGAGTTTGCTTCGATGCGCGCATTGGATCGTGGCCGGTACGGTTATTGGTGGCGAGAAGAAGAAGTCGGAGAAGGCGAGATTGAGGAAGGGACTGAATATCCTGGTGGCTACACCAGGTCGACTTGCTGACCATCTTGAAAATACACAAGCGCTGGACGTGAGTAATGTGAGATGGTTGGTGCTAGATGAGGGTGATCGATTGATGGAGCTCGGTTTCGAGAAAGAACTGCAGGGGATCATTCAGAAGCTTGATGCCAGGCAACGACCTAGTCGGATTCCCGGTATTCCTACGAAGAGAACTACGATCCTTTGTTCCGCTACGCTGAAGATGAATGTGCAGAAGCTGGGAGAGATCAGTTTGAAGGACGCCGTTCATATCAAAGCAGACCCCGCCGACGAGGATGGAGAAACCAAGAGAAAGGACGACGACGGTTTCAGGGTGCCAGCTCAGCTTAAGCAATCTTATGCTCTTGTTGCGGCTAAGCTCAGACTGGTCACTCTTACAGCCTACTTGAAACGAACATTTATGCGAAAAGGCTCCGTCATGAAGGCTATCGTGTTCGTCTCTTGTGCGGACTCGGTCGACTTTCATTTTGAGGTGTTCTCAAGAAAGAAACAATACAGAGACGAGAGCGAGGAGGAAAAAGAAGATAGTGAAGAAGATGATGAAGATAATGTGAAAACAAAATCCGAAGCGTCGCCTCACGGCACTATCGCACCTGCGGTTGCCTTCTCCAGCCCTTCGAACCCGGTAAAATTGCACAAACTCCACGGATCTCTTCCTCAACACGTCCGAACAGCCACCCTTAACGCCTTCTCTCGCGAACGCGAGCCATCCGTACTAGTCTGCACTGATGTTGCATCTCGAGGATTGGATTTGCCAAATGTTGACCTGGTCATCGAATACGACCCGGCTTTCAGCGCGGACGACCACACCCACCGAATCGGACGTACTGCCCGTCTTGGACGGGATGGCCGAGCACTGATCTTCCTGATGCCCGGCTGTGAAGAGAACTACGTGGAGGTTCTGAAGCGTGGATACCGAGATGGCGGAAAGGCACTGACGCGCACAACTGCGGAAGACATATTGAAGCGCGGGTTTGGCGGGAACATAACGTCCGAGACCAAGAACTGGGAAGAGAAAGCGACCGACTGGCAAATGGACCTTGAACGATGGGCAGTGGATAACCCAGAGTATCTCGAGATGGCGCGACGAGCCTATCAATCACACATCCGCGCCTACGCCACCCATATCGCCAGCGAGCGAAGCATGTTCAACATCAAGGAACTCCACCTTGGACATCTTGCCAAGAGTTTCGCACTGCGCGACCGCCCCAGCAAGATTAACGTCCCCGGCCTGCGCCCAGGAGACAAGGAAGCAAAGAAGGATTACAAGGCCGAGAGGAAGACCGTTGGAAAGAAGAGAAAGGCAGGCGGCCGGGACGACGACGATTTCCCATCTTCCAACGATGCAACATCCGCGGCCCAAAAGATGAGAGCCAAGCTGAAGGAGCACATGGCCGGAGCCAGCGAATTCAACCTTGCCTAGTGTATTTGTATATAGCAATTTGATGACCTCAGTAGATATCCCACAATGAGATCTTTCCATCTTTTGACCCCGCAGCCAACCAATGCGTCTTCTGTACCTTCTGATTCCGCTGACGCTGCACCGTAGCGAGCGAGAACTCCTCCGGTCTCATAACCTGAGCACCATCCCCACCACCCCCATCACTCCCCCGAGCACCCGTAGCAGCAGCAGCACCACCACCAGAATCAATAGAACCCTCCACATCCGCAAAAGCAACAGTATAACACCCCTCCTTATGCCACTTGAGAACCGCCAACTCCCTCATCGTCTTACAAGAATACACCCGAATCCTCGAATCCCACCCGGCAGTCGCAAAAACCTTCCCATCAGACCGAATCCTCAACCCCTGCTGCCCAGAATGCTTCGTATCAACCCTCTTCTTCACAGGCAACACCTCCCCAAACCCAGGAACAGGATGCTTCACCAACAGAGCATCAGCCGACGACGAAAGGAAATACCCCCCAGCCGGAAAAACATCAATCGACAAAGCGGGCTGCGAATGAGCCCGGGCGACATAAACCCTCTCCCATTTCCAGTTGTTACTACTACTATTACTGGCATTTCCAGAAAAGTCCTGCGTCCTTAGTCGGCCTCGGAGCGCGAAAACCATCACATGGCCGTCTTCGTAGGCTGCCGCTACATGTAATTCCCCGGTGGATGAATGGACTAGGTTCACGGCCATGACCATGCCTGTTTGCGTGGTTGGGTCTGCGGGGATTGTGCAAAGACGTCTTTCGCGTGGGAGGTGGAAGATGTCTATTGCGCCTGAATTGAGGGCGTTGGGGACTGCGAAGAGGGATGTGCGCTGCTGCTGCTGCTGCTGTGGTGTATTGGTTTCTGGTGACTGGGACTGAGTGTCTGAGGTTGTCTTTGGTTCCTCTTCCCGTGTATCCGAGGATTCCTCACCATTATCAAGGAAGAGGATAGAGAAGGCACAGAAGTTCAGTGCGTTGACAGGGAGAGAATGAACGAGCCATGGTTGGGTTGCTTGAGATTGGTGCTGCTCGCGCATGTCCACGGGGAGGGTTTTTTGGAGGAGATCCTCATCTTGGATGCGGAAGCGCCATACACATAATTTATGATCTCGTCCATGGCTGGTTCAGTTGTTAGATTACTTTTCTGTGAATTTTGGGGAAGGAGGGAAAGTGACGCACGTGTATACTTCTGTCACGGTTTCGTTGCTGAAAGTGAAGCCTTTGACTTCGAGGATGGCGCCTTCGTGCGCTTTCCATACGGCGACTGGTCGCTTGAAGACTAGGTCCCATACTATTATCCAGCCGTCAGCGTCGCCTGAGATGAGCCGCAGGTTTTGGTGGAAAATGTGCAGGCCGTGGATTGGGGAGGCATGGCCCCGGAGAATGTAAGTTGGGCTTGCTGGTGGTTGTAGCTGAGTGGAGGTGCTCATTTGTGGTTACTTGGATTTTGAGATCAATTTATGTATCAACTTTTATGGATAGTTCATGGGTGTATTTCCTGTATTTGTTATAAGTCCTATATTCAGTTTGGTGGAAATAGTTTGAAGATGAAATGGAAGGAAGGATATGTGGATATGGCTGGCAAAGAAAGTCTTGGCACTGCCGATAAGGAGTAAATATCTTCAAAATCAATCTTGAGGGAGAGTGGATGCAAGTACGAAATATAAACCCGAAAGTCAGTGTAAACAGAGATTGCTTCAAACTATGTCATTTTTTTTTTTTTTTTTTATAACCAAGCAACCGAAAAGCGTTCTATATAACCTATACCACTAATGTCACATTATGTGGACAAGACATCTAGCCCCAATAGCGAAACATGAAAAGCAACATCATGAAAGGTATCATAGGAGAATAACGCCTGCCAAGGGTATCGCACAAGATGATGAACCAAGTCCCACAAAACGCCGTCATACCATTACAAATAAGATCTATAAGCTCCCACATTGGTAATCACTGATTTGATGCGGCGCAACGTAATGGTCCTGATACGGGTGATTATCCATGGAGAAATCCGCAAACGCCATGATAGGGTTGACGACCCCAGGGGGCATTTTTAGTAGAGTCGAAGTAGGATCAATGTCGAACGTATGGTGGTCATTAAGCAAAGGTAGTGCATTTGGATCTGCCGACACTGATTGATGTTGCTGAGCTGGATTCCAGCCCCATGCTTGTTGAAGCCCCTCTTTGACTTGTTCGGATCTCCAGCCTGTCTCTTTGGCAATATCATCAAAGATCCCAAAGACCTCCTCCTGAGCCTCCCTTGTAGCGAGACATTCTGCAGCTACGGCCAAAAAACGTATAGACAGACTAGCGACCCCTCTGATTGCAAATGTTAGAATCAACAGCGGTGTATATATGAGAAATACTTCTTACCCGTCTTTCACATTTGCGACAATCCCGCATATGTCATGTGCATGGCTTTGCTGCACGCTTTGCATCTCAGGACTGAACTCGTTTTCTAATGGATGCGTTTTTGTGAGAAGAATTCGAGTCGTGTGGTAGAATAGCCGAGCTATAATTGAAGCTCGTTTGATAAGCCTGCCAACAGTTAGCTAGGAAGGTCGATTGTCTAGGCTCGAAATGTACATACCATATCTTTGGAAACATGGATTTCGAGTTGGTCTGCCATGATGGCAGGAACGCAAGGGGTACCATAGAGCGAGGCACAGCTTTCGCCCATTTATCACACCAGTCATTGTACATAGTCCATTCCTGACATCGATGGTTGATATCCATATCATTTGTCGAACGGTCTAAGGGCTGAAGTTGAGACATGGACGACCGAAGATTTGCGACCTTGGCACAGATATAGACCATACGGTGGGTCCACAGTTCCTCATTACCTGCAACGCTGGGTTGAGCTTGCTCGAAGTCCATATTTACACCCCATGTGTCGGGATCCCAAGCTAACGCCCAATTGAAATGCAAACAACTGAGTAGTTCCATGCTAACATTAAGCCAGAAACAGGCCCCACCGAGGCCTTGAGTCCTCGCGTCCCAGTGACACTCCTTAATGAGGGCTCGCGCACCAGCAATGTGGTTCATACCATGGATGGATGGGAAAGATTTCGAACCCATTAATTCGTAGACATTGAGGACGACGGCCGTTGTCGCACATAAGGCAGAGTCCCGATCTGGGTCATGTAGCGCGCTAAGGAGATCCCTGGAAGCTGCATCATGGAGATACGACGCTTTTTCTTCTCCGTAGGAAGGGTTTTTGAGGTATACATGACGGGCACCACATGCCATGAACGCCTTCAGGAGCATTGGCTCTCCTAGCGCATGAAATGGCAGGATATGCGTGAACTAAGAAAGTCAGGAACGACCACGATAATCTTAAGAACCGTGAAACTTACATGCTTTACATCGTTCATCGAGTCCATCCATTGACCAACTTCTTCTACAAAGACTTGCATCAGGAAGACATCGTCGGGGTCCTGAAGACATGGGTAGTTATTAGTCTTTAAATCCCCCTTTCCAGCTGAGTTGAAAGGCGCATATGAAGCGCTTTGATCTTGAAGAGGCTGATATTGGGGATGAGCATGGCTACCAAATGTAGCGTTCATACCGGCCGGCTGAGCCCCATGACCTGATACAAATGAGGCGGCGGCATGCGGATTATACGCAGACGGCAGAGGGGGGCTCGTGAGACTATCCACCTTCAAAGGAGGGTCCGCTACTGGCGGAGGATATCTCTCAAATCCCCCAACATACTCGGAAGCTATGTGTCTAGACTCGTCACGGAACGTCACACGGGATCCTGGAGGGCGATGAATGTAATGAGGAGGTGCTACTGTCTGTGTGTCGATGAAATTGAGACGGACTCCACGTCTGCATATCCGGCCTGATTTCCGGCAATTCTGGCACTGGTGCAAAGCTTCGTCACACTTTAAATGGCGCTCTCGGCAGGTGAGGCAGCCAGTTCGGACACGCCTGGGCTTCCGTCCGGTGTCTTTTCGTCGGCCGGTATCACTGCCTGGTGTCCGTGAGACGCTCATTGTAGTGCTATTAGGGGTCAGGACCCCTCCTTCACCAAATGGACTTTCTCGAGCATTGTCGTCCGTGACTAGTTTGTCCGGGGTTGCAATGTCTACCTCCAGACCAGGAGTATCTGCGGTTTGTTCGGTAGCTGCCATCTCCACGGAGACATCCAGATCGGGTGACGGCAAGACATTGCCGTTGATTGTAGAAACCGAAGCCATTTCAACACCCGATGTAATACCCCCAACTCTTCTTGAGCCACCTTATATCCAGCGCCCGAATATTGTTACGTAAAGCCTCGCGATCAGCCACAGAGACCAGACCCGCAGCGCATCGTGGCTACCTGTAAGATTCCCGGTTGCGTAGAGATCCTGACTGTCGTTTCTGTCGGAGTTACGGATGGCGGCGACGATTGAGAAAGGAAATAAATACCACAATCAAAGGGCAAAAGGTAAAAAAGAGTATCTTCGTATATTAATCGGGCCATGAAAAAGCGACGGATATTCTTCGGCACCTGGAAGGAGATAGAGGTTCTTGTCAGTCTAGTCCAGTCAATGGTGAGCCCCGTAACGAACTACAGGTTGTACCCCATTTGAATAACACAACGCGGAAAAGAGCAGCAGCAGTCCATACCCTTACCCAGGCCAATTAATATTCACCAAGCCCACGGAGCGATTGGTTGATGAGAGAGAGTGAACTGAACGACTCCGAAGATTTGCGGGGAGATAATCAAGATTCCTCTACACTGAAAAGGGTCTAGCGCATCTTTCAACCGGACTTTATCAAATCACCTTTTTAAGGCCGACAACGTGATTGTTTTTCTATCTGCTCTATATTCAATACATGCATTTCATTCTCGTGACTTTCTACAGTTTATTGCCCATATTAACATGGACAGCCTTCACTTGGCTGTACGCCTCAAGTCCAGCTTCACCTAATTCTCGCCCGATTCCGCTCTGCTTCACACCTCCGAACGGTATCCGAGGATCGCAGTCCTGGCTGCTGTTGATCCAGACCATACCAGATTCAATCTCAGCTGCAACCCGGTGAGCACGCTCAAGATCCTTTGTGAACACAGCCGCACCAAGGCCATAGGTGGTATCGTTTGCACGCTTAATGGCTTCTTCCTCCGTCTCAAAAGGCACAATGACAACTACGGGGCCAAAGATCTCCTCCCGATAGATGCGCATCGAGTCCTTAACGTTCGTGAAAACAGTCGGCTTAACATAGTATCCCGACTCTCCATTGCTGTTGGCTGGGTGAGGACCTCCTCCGGAAGCCACGACCGCGCCCTCCGAAATGCCCACTTGAATGTACTCGAGCACTCTATCATATTGAGCGCGAGTGACCTGGGGTCCTTGGAAGGTGCTCTCATCCCACTGATCTCCGATCTTAGACGTGGTCTGAATAGCACCCTTGAACTGCTCAACAAAGGTATCGTAAATGTCCTTCTGGACCAAGATCCGCGACGTAGCAGTGCAGATCTGGCCCTGGTTGGACATGATACCGAAATGGGACCATTTTACGGCCTGCTCCATATCGGTATCATTAAAGACAATCAGGGGCGACTTTCCTCCCGTCTCAAGAGTAATATTCTTCAGGCTGCCCGCAGCCATCTTCATGATCTCTCTCGCGGTAGCAGTGGAGCCCGTAAATGCCACCTTATCAACCAAGGGGTGCTGCACCAAAGCGGCACCAGCCTCCCGACCGTATCCATTGATAATATTAACAACACCCTTAGGGAAGCCCGCCTCCTTGATCAAGGTTCCCAGAATCAAAATGCTCAAGGGCGTCTGCTCAGCAGCCTTAATCACAACGGTATTACCACACGCCAGAGCAGGCCCCAGCTTCCAGGCTGCCATGGACAGGGGGTAGTTCCATGGGATGATCTGACCCACCACACCGATGGGCTGTCTAATTGTGTAGGCGAACTTCTGAGGGGTGGTGTTGATCGTTTGGCCGAACGTCTTGTCGGCCCAGCCACTGTAGTACCGGAAGGTGGTGATGGCTTCCACCAGGTCCTCGCTCAGCGCAACATGGTATGGTTTTCCTAGTAGATCAATCAGTACATATTAATACAATTCGGAATCGGACTCAGACTCAACTCACCGTTATCCCACGCATCAATCGTAGCGAAAAGCTCCTTATTCTGCTCTATTAAATCGGCCAACCGACCCATTAACATTCCCCGGTCTGTGGCTGGGAGGAGCTTCCATGAATCATCCTTCAAGGCAGCTTTGGCAGCATTGACTGCTTTATCAACATCCTCGGCACCGGCTGCATAGACAGAAGCGATTTCACGGGTAGTTCTGTCCGGGGCATTAGTTTTGTTTTACAAGAGTGGATTACTAATAAAGGACTGGTAATAACTCACGCTGGATCAATAGAGGCGATAGTCTGACCAGACGTGGACTTCACAAATTCATTGTCGATAAACAAACCCGTGGGTTGTTTATACTGGCGACCGTTTGGCGCTGTGATATCAAGGAAGAGATCGAGATTTGGCATGACGAGGGGTACTATAGTAATGACTCGTTTAAAGAAATGAAAGAAAATTGCAAAGGAACAGAGTCGGGTATAATAAAGTCGGGAGATATGAGAAAACTTGAAGAATATTAAGAGAAATAGGCCAGCTATCTATGTCTAGAGACATGGAGCTTTATCTACACGAAAAGAGAAAACAAGACAAAAGCTACCCCACTCACCCACAGCTTTCAATCAACGACCAATGTCATAAGATTCGACCCAGAAATTGCCCCTCCGCGGGGTTCTCTCGGGTGCACATACCTTAAGCAAGTAAGTGATTTGAGGGGCGAACTTTAGCGTATCCCTGATTCCAGCCTTATCGGAGTCTCCTTGACACTTAGGGTTGGATGTCTGCTACCCGAAACAGGCAGCTCGTTCCGAAACCGATACTAATCCATCGACCGAACTGATGATATGCTCATGTCAATCATGACGCACATGGAGAACTTTACCCCGGATCCATAGATCAAACCCCATCGGAATGATACTTACTTTCAGAATCATATCCAACAACCAACAATCACAACCACCCAAGGAAAGCCATTCCGGCACACTCGTAGATATAAGTAATAAATCATGCCAGCAACCGACCAAAGAACATACAATCAGTTTCAAGAGATTCGTACCACTCACTCACTGCATTTTTTTTTTTAAAACCCCCCCCCCCATTCCTAGCCACCTAACCAAAACCACCAAGATGAGCAACCAAGAACTCACGGGCGTTATGGTCGCTTTGATCACCCCCTTCACCGACGACGGCGGCAAGATCGACGAATCCCGTCTGAAGTCCCACATCGACCGACTCCTCCAAGCGGGCGTGCACGGCCTCGTCCCCGGCGGCAGCACGGGTGAATTCACAGTTCTCTCCCTCGCCGAGCGCAAGCAATTAACAGAGCTCTGTGTTAAATACGCCGCGGGCCGCGTGCCCGTGGTCGCCGGCACAGGCGCCACCTCGACACAGGAGGCCGTGGAACTGGCCAAGCACGCTGCTGAAGTCGGCGCCGCAGCAGTGATGGTCGTTCCACCTTACTATGACCCAGTCAACTACGAACAGCTCACGGAGATGATGAGCGAGATCCACACCGAGTCGAAGCTCCCGATTATGTACTACAACATCCCGTCTGCGAGCGGGTTGACCTTGACGCCGCAGCAGCTCGCTGATCTGTCCAAGGTCGGCGTTAAGTACATGAAGGATACATCCGGTAATGCGCCGGCGTATACAGAGCTGGTCTTTGCTTTGTCGGATAAGATTACCGCGTTCAACGGCTGGGATACCCTTACATTCTATGGTATGGCGGCTGGAGCGCCTGGCTGTGTTTGGGGTGCTGCGAACGTTATCCCGGAGTTGGCGGTGCAGTTGTGGGACGCTATTGCTGTGAAGGGTGATTTGAAGCGGGGTAGGGAGCTCTGGACTAAGGCTTACCCTATCTGCAAGTTCTTGGAGTCGCATAACTATGCTGCTGCTGTGAAGACTGGTGTCGAGTTGACTGGTCAACCCACTGGTGGTCTGCGGAAGCCCTTTGCCCTGTTGGCAGACCAGCACAAGGCTGAGTTGGCGTCGTTCATGCAGTCAGCTGGTATTAAGACTGTTTGAGCGGTGGGTATTGGGAGGAATATATAAGCATTATTAACTCAAATCATGTGAGACGTGACATTCCGGCGTTTTGTGCTTCAGCTTTCTCTTTGTGAATATGTATGACAGGAATTGATAAAATATATGGTTCTTTCCCCCCCTCATGAAAGCATCGGCCAAAGCTTTTTCTGTCGCAGTATATCCATCCACGTAGGTAATGGACCTCCTGCACGATTGTATCGGAAGTACCCATCTTGCTCTTTCCATACGCCGGTCATCACATCCTTCGCGACTACAAAGGATGCAAAGCCGCATTGTGCGCCTCCCTTTTCGACCCATCGCAGGAGGGCATCGCGCTTAGACGGTGCCATGGCTTCACATCCGGCCATGAACGCCGGCCACGCAGTGCCTGGACCAGAAACTTTATGTTGAGCTAGCGCCGTGTCAAAATCCTTCAGAGCCGTTATGACTTCATCGACGTGCGATTGAAGAATTGAAGGGTGAACGTTGCGGATGCGGCGGTAGAAAAAGATTACAAGGGCCGTGTTTAATGCCCGGAGCATGTGAGTATGTGGTCGGGCCGGCCCTCCTGACGAGTCGGTATTGTTTCCCTTACTTCTATCTGAATTAAAAGAGCAAATCATGTTCTCAAGACGGGTGGCTCGTCGTTGTAATGCCTCCCACGCCTCTGAGTTCATAAATCTCTTTGTCCCTCCAGAGGCCACTAGAGTGTCCATGACATTGGCTAACCTAGTCGTTTGTGATACTAAACTAAGCCATGTCTCAGGTATACCGTAGATCTCGCTATAAAGCGTGTCTGCCCACCGGCGTGAGTCTTCCAAGTGGATGTCGTGAAGGGCTACTTCGCGCTCCTTGGGTGCGTCGATATCCAGGTCGCTGTCCGACTGGCGCGGCTGCAGGAGTAGAAAGTCATCTAATCGCGCATCCAGCCCGCTTCGGCGGCTGTTATCATGCTCGATCATATCTTCGCGGGGCTGGAAGCAGTGGTTGAGTGCCTCGATAAACGAAGCGGATGGGTTGTAATCGTGAAGCACATAGGTGCTCTCTCCTACGATACGGATCCACGTGTAGATGTGGTGCAGCACACGCGCTTTCCGGGAGATCTCGCGTTTCGATAAGCCACGGAGACGCATGAGGCGCTCGGCATCTATCATATAACACCGTGCATCCTTCTGATGTCCGGAAAGAACCTAGATTTCTCATTAGTCAGCCAGGTGTGTGAACGTAGCCAGGAGCCAAAGGGAGAGTCTAACTGCAAAGGCTGCCATTGCGGATATAGCCATTAGCTGGTCCTTGTACTTGGCTTTCTTCGGCCCATTCACCTCTATCTTCAGCGATTGCTGTATATGGTCCTTCGCCTTATGGTACGAATAATGCGTTACTTGCTTCCAGTGCTCTGCAGAGTGTGGCGACTCAATGGTGGCATTCAGGCTCAGATGGTGTGCGGAGCACGCAAGAAGAGAGTAAAAGTTGGTCAGCCTAGCGTGGTTGAGGTTATGACCTCCCATGTATGTAAGATCTCCCAGAGTCAGTACGGCGGTTGGAATATTCAGTAACTTCCACGGTGACTTTTGCCCAACAGGCAATGTCATCATCTGCCCAATTACATTATCTTGGAAGTGCTTCAGCAGGAAAGGAGCATCCGTCAATATATCGCTCGTGGGGGAGACCAGCTCAATAGGCGTCTGTTGTGGTGTTAGTGCCCTCATTCCCCGTTGCCCTTCGTCTCCTTCGAATGTGGCTAACGTTTGATCTTGTATCTGGTGAGACATATCATCTAACCCACTCCTATAAATGGAGGAATATAGACCATGGGTAAGTTCACCATGATTAAAGTCATCGGATGATATCCCCGAGGTCAGATCAAATCCAAGGCCAAATAGATCAGCCCAGTGGAGGAACTCATCCGCTCCAAGGAAGGGATCAGTTACGGATGACAGCAAGGGGTCAAACTCCAATGCTTCGTCGTAAGGAAGCCGGTTGATAGCCGGGGCGGGGCTTGTCTTCTCCGACTGAGCATTCTGGCGTCCGTTGTTCATGTCGGTACAAAGGTCAAACTTAAGAACACTAAAAGGCCCAACCGCGACATCTCCGGTTGATGAGCCTTCTACTTCTTTGGATTTGGTATCGACCTCAGTGAGTAACGCATCAACGGTACCGGAAGCAAGGTCCGCGGCCAACGCCGTGCTCATGGAAGCCCTCGATTTTTCTGAACAGGCAAATCAGCACATGAGCATAATGTAGTATTAATGCAGGGTACATGATCCCACCTGTATAGAGATGGCGTCTTGTGCCATGACCCCCACTAGTAGCAGATTTGTCTGCGCCTCGACTTTCGGAACTTGATTGGCGTTGTTGTTGTGACTGGTGCTTTCCGGACATCCATCGAATCTCCGTGGAATAGCCTTCACAAGAAACACCAAATGCACGACACGTCAGGCAAGTCGGGCGCATTTGATCGCATTTCACATGGCGGCGTCGGCAGGTCTGGCAGCCTCCTAGCGTATGAGTCCGGCGTGATTTGCTCTTTCTTGAAGGGGGCATTGTAGGTATTCTATTTAGTTGGGCTATCTTCAAACCAATCTAGTAAGTAATCTGTAAGTCACAGTAAGAAATCAATATAGTTCGAGGGAGTCCATAACAGCCATTTCCCTAAGACGACTGACTGCGCTGATAACTGTTCGGAGTCTCTTTCCTTTTATGTTTCCCCGCACTACCACGAGCCAATAACTTTTGCCTTCCTGGTTTGGTGGGGCATTTTCACCGCCTAGTTGACTGCCTCTATCGGCGCTCCTTGACGCGAAATAAACCAAACAGACCATTCAAGTAAGTAATCTAAGTAGCTCAAACCATTCAAACAGACCAAGTAAGCTACAGATATACAGCGAGCAATCTAAGTATTTTAAGAACTTCAAGCAGTTTAAGCAATGTAAGTATTAATCCAAGTAGAATTGTACTGCCGGCAGAAAAGTCATGCGGAGTGGCGGTGGCTTGCTATGTGTAAATCCACTTTTGGCCCGTGGGTTTGCCCTAACTCTATAACTTTGGCCAATTAAATCATACAACGCTTGGGAAAAACTAAAAATCCTCCAGGATCCATGGTAGACAACAACTTTCAATGAATTGAATCGGTGAGAGGCGTTCAAGGCACATCTATTCACTCAAACAACAATCTCCACGACTGGTACCATTTCAGGGGGACATTGTTCTCCACAGAAGACTCCCTCTTAATGATCTCTGCCAGACCCGACACTCGATCGACTTCAGAAGCGGAGTGCATCCAAGGTTCTGATCGAGCGGCAACAAAACGGTGACCCAAATACAAGATTAGGAAGATAGGAATACCGATATAACACGTCAAAAGGTTGGACATATCTCAGTGGCCATTGATGAAGTTCTTGAAACCTTTCACAAGAAGCAATAGACTGAAAGTACCACCAGAGACGTACGACATATAGGGCTGAAATCGGGATCGATAGGGCAGGTCAGTCACTCCCTGGGCATCAGTGGCCTTTCTAAATCGCAAATAGACGATACAGACACAGATCCAGCTCTGGTAGGCCCCAGTATTGATCAGGTTGACGAACCAATTAAATACGGTTGCTCCTGTGGAGGATACATTGAGATAGGAGAGAAGACAGATGGCCGTGCTACACGCGACTGCATTGTAGGGAACGCCAGATTTAGTGCATTTCATCAGAAAACGGGGTGCACTACCTGTCAAGGCCGTCGAGTAGAGGGCACGCGTTGACATGTAGAAGTAAGAATTGCCGGCAGACAACGCGGAGAGTAATATAACTGTGTTTATGACCGAGTCCAAGCCCAATATACCTGCGTTTCGGGCTGCAATAGACCATGGAGAGGCTCCCGCGCCAGACCCACCTCAAGTAGCTTGGGATCATCGTTCGGGAGAATCAGACTGGTGGCAAAAGCTCCGATAATGTAGAAAAGCACGAGTCGGTAGAAGTACCGTTTTCCTGCGGTTGGTAGGTTGCTTCGATGGGACTGCATCTCTCCCCCAGTGATGATAAGAAGTTCTGGGGCGAAGCCGAATGCATACACTGAAAAGCAGATGGTAGCCAGAAAGGCACTCAGGCGGCCAGCATGACCAGTAACCAGATACTCGTTGATAGGACCAGGGTGCTTCCAATAATGGAAACCAAGCAACTCGCGGTTTGGACCTCCCCCAAAAACAAGCACCACGGCCATGATGATAAGCCCGATGATACTAATCACCTTGAGTGACGCGAACCAGAACTCCACTTCACCGTAGACCCCAACCGGAAAACAGTTCAGTTCAACAAGAAGAATAATAAAATTGTAATCCAGACAGCCACATGCACTGGAGGGTTCCAATACTGAACTACAAGGCTTGCAGCCGTTATTTCAGCTGGTACAGTGATAGCAAAGATATAGCAGTACATCCAGCCCAAGGCAAACCCTAGGCTACTTGAAAAGAAGCTGCTAGCATAATATGGCATAGAAGGGCCAGGAACAGGTAGGTACGAGGACATTTCGGTCGTCGCAGTCACTATGCCAAACACCAGGCCAGTTATAATGTAGTAGGCGACAACCAAGAACACCGGGCTTCCCATGTTGAGACTCTGCTCAGAGCCGACAAAAAGGCCAGTTCCAATCGTGCCTCCTAGGACAAGCATTTGAGCGTGGCGAGACTTGAGTCCTCTCTTAGTCGTCATACCCTCGGCGGCAATTGGAAACATCTCTCCCTCTTTTATGGAGGCTACCCTCGCGAGGACTCGCTGATTCTCAGGGTCTGTATGCTTTATCTTTTCATCTATTGCGAGTTATCAATATGGCAGATTAATGGCTATGTCAAGGCAAATACAGGACAAAGAATGAGAGAAAACTACAGCAAAAGCCATTGAGTTTCTGGGGAATATCTATGCCCTGGAGGTCCGGTATCAGTAAGCAATCAGAAGCATGACCCCGAGCCCACTACCCCGGACCCTTGGTTCTGTTATATCACGAAGAGCGGGGGAGGTCTAATCTCTAGCCTATCTCATTGAGGAAACCAGAATCATATCCGGAGTAACCTTCCCTGGGATGGCACAAGCGTGACTGTTGTCACTGGAGCTTTGGTCCCTTATCTGTTTCCAAAAGTGACATGGATGAAGTCAAGCTGTAGGCATAGTACTGTAACTTAGACTAGCAGGCATTCTAGTTGTAGAGCATCGCTTGTCCTGATGGAAGGTAAGAAGTACACTATAGCCCCAGATTTGCGTAGATTGTTGTCTACAGCTCTATAAGCTCATTGTATCAAGTTATTTGACTTAAGGCTCTATTCAATTAATCTACGTCCACAGTCCTAGCTACTACTATTTAGCACTAAACGGTTAAACTACATGCCAGCTCCATCGCGAATATCCTTTTTACAGTACCTTCCACTATATTACCCGCTATCATGCCAAAAAAA